CAGTATTGGGACAGCTAAAAATCAGCTAATTATCATGCAAATTAGGTAATTAATATTCATAGATTTTTACCAAAACCTAATCAACTCTGCGCATTGTCCCAGAGCATCTATGTACCAAGTTTCATCAAAATTTGATTAGTGGTCCTTGAGATAACGGTGGAACAAAAAAAGTGACATACATACATACAGACATACGACAGGGTAACTGCAAAGACTCCCTTTTGTGCTTCGCACACGGGAGTCAAAAAGGCTGCCAGTCAGCCATTTCGAATCTTATCTGAAAAACAAAATGTTTGAACAAAATCCATCTGTAAACAGAAGAGAAATGCTTGATTTTGATGATTTTTTAACACAAAATGGCCCCCATTCGGCCATCTTGAATCAGATCGTGAAACAAATTTATGTATAATCAGGCTGGTAGTTTTCAGGAAGTCAAAAACATACCGTACTCACTTAAAATAGAGAATTAATGATATTGTCATGCAATGAACATATCTGATAGAGGTTCCCCTCAAGTTACCAAAATATAACATATCATATCAAAGCAATTGCACTGATCATTTTCAAGAAGTCAAAAATGAATGATGACAGTGCAGCTAAGTATGTTTTATATGACCCTCAGTTTGTAAACTACCCATATTATGAATTTTTGTGATCCAGCATGCATACCAAGTTTTAATTTAAATGCGCCTCCTTGGCTCTACACCTTTTTAGGCTATTTTTTAAATAAAACATGGCCACTCGTCAGCCAATTTGAACCTAGCCCGGAGAACCAGTAATTGGACAACTGACACAAACAACATTACGTCAAAGCATCCCCACGTGATCCTGGTTTCAATTTCGAAAGAGACAGAAAAGGAAGTAGGGAGGAGTCTCTCACGATATCATGCGCGAAATTCTCGTTTTCCCCTAGTTGTTACACTCAGACTTATGAATAATAATGAGTGAGTGCGGTTAAAAATAATAGCCAACCACAGGCCCCTGTCAATATTTGATGGATCGCCCTGTCTTATTTTGTTGCTGAGCGACAGCGACTGCTGCCACGACCACATTCTGCTAATTTGAATAATGGAATTTGAATTTTCAGGCGAGTTTCACTGGGCGTTGGTTAGAATAGAAACCAACGGCCAGACTCTGGGCTAATTTTAACCTGGTCATAAAAAAAATCTGGAGCACATCAAATATGTACTTGGAAAAAATTTGTCCATGAACTTCTGGGAAAATGTGACAGACAAATCATCAGTGTAACGGTCCCCATATTTTGCAGTTATTTCTGTCAAACAAGATTTTTTATTTTAGTCAAAACTTCACATGTACATTGACATCCTAGTGATTGACTTTTCAAGATTTGTGGTCATCATTCTCGTACAATTTGCATATTGAAATTAGGCAAGTGAACTGTATAAGCGAGCTAGATTGGCATAAAGATCAATTTATGAATATTCATGATCTGACACAAAAAATCATAGAATGAAGATGCTCAAAAGAACATCAAGTTAATATTTCAAAATTATCACATTTGTGTACAGCAGGTTTGTTTGGTTCAAACGCCAGTAGATTCAATTTTATGTATGGTTCAGTCATACAAGACAAACCAACAGCAGACTATAGAAAATTCATGACCAGACAGAAAAGCACAAAATGATACATTATAAATATTTTTTTATATCAATAATTATAACAAGTACATGAATTTTTGTAATTGTACAATACATTTGAATTTTAAATAAGAGGATGTAATCTGTTAAGTACATATAAACCACATCCATGGGTAACCTAAAGCAAGTCTGACCTACATTTTGTGCACACTAAAAAAAGTATATGGTGGATGATTTGAAACGACAGGCAGTAGTTGGTCCCATGTAACACACACACACACACACACACACACACACGATATGGAAATAAGCTTATACAATGAAATGGTAGACTTCAAAATGTACAAAGAAATTTGTGGATGGTTTTTCTATTTTACATAGATTCAATAATTAAATACATTTTGCCATACTATACAAAACCATTCAGTCTATAAATTTTATATTTTAAAGTAGTCTCAAAATACTACATACAGTTCTTCGAAACCTTGCTAAATTCTTTCCTTGCACATGCTGAAAAGAAATAGTCATCAACAGATTAGCATTCTCTGTCTTTTCATTATTTTGTTGTATTTTTGTTGTATGTGTATTGGGCTTGAAGTCTATAGCACATGAGTAAATAGATACACATATATAAATGGAAATTCTGAAAAGCAGGTAACCTGCATTAAAACCTCTCAAAGACTATTGAATAATTTTTGCTTATAGTTGTGATATGTGATTTTTCATCAGGCTATATTTCGAAATAAAATGGTATTTACTATTCATCAATTGCCAAATAGGGTACATAAATATCCTCTGGTCATCTTAGTTAGTACTATAACATACTTTTCTCAAATATTTGATGCAGGTAGTGTATAGAACTATAAATATGGTAATAAAATGAGTAATAATATTTCTCACAATTTTTTATTAACAGATAATTGTTATATTTTGGTTCAGAAGCATATACAATAAAATGAATGATGAATTATGATGTGGAGAACCAAGATAAGAAATAACCTTTCATTTTATGGTGTACAGGTGAAATAATTAAGTCAAAATATGCAACTATACAGACATTATAAATTTGGGGTAAAACTGTATGATATTTAAATAATTACTCTCATACTTGCAAATATGTAAATGGTTACAGAGTGAACAAAAATAAATATAATATTTTATAATTACAATTATACATTGCAAGTACAGAAAAGTAAAACATAGTGCAACTATAGAAGCCTTGCTCATATTAAGATCTTTCTAACTATGTTTTAACATATTTTCATGAGCCAGACATACTGATAGATAACAAGTGATTGATTTTGTAGATGAATATATTTACAAATGTCACAGTACATGTATTGATCACATGGTATAAATGTACTCTTTTTTTTTTTTTTTTACTTCTTATAAAGGCAATTAAAAACAGACTTGCTCCAATTTGGTATCAACAAATGGCAAATAATTAAGCATACTAATCATGCACAACATGATGGGATGAGCACTCAGCTTGAAACATTAAAATGTGATTTTAATTAATATGTACATAATTAATTAGGTATTCTTGAAGGTTGATGAATACATCACAATCCGGTACACTGCTAGGGTCACAAAGTCAACGATACTAGTCTTCATTAAAACATACTGACTAACTCTGTCACAATGTCTTGCCCCTCTCCATCTATCTGAATAAGCATTATGGGGAAAATGAAACCAACAGATGTAATACATGTAGCTCTATCATTTCAAGAACCATTATTCTCTCAATTCTCATTGACACCAAGCAGCGGTGTCCTTGAGAATAGCTATTTCACTATTTCAATATCTGTAACTATCAATCTTTTGTTATTTTATTTTTAATAAAACACTCTCTCAATTTGTAATGACCATTGGTTTTATCCAGTTCTCCGGATGGCGCCATCTATTGAAATCCAATTGTGTCAAGTAAACTTCAGGAATTACTGTACAAGATGACAACTAACTAGGGGGCCATGGCGAAATGTCAAATACGTTGACATCTTGAGAGGCTAGGCCATCTGTGACAGCCGCTCACTGATGAATTTATAGTGTGCATTGTCTGTCAATTTTTTATGGTCCCCATCAGGTGACTCGTTTAAAGGAATGATGACAACCCTTAGTTTTCACATCACGTTTTATGTGAAATTAGCCTCGGGTTGATCACTTTGCACATGCAAGTGTCTCAAATAATATTTTGGTAAGATTTGGTCTTCTTAATGGGTTGTAATCAAATACTATATTGTTCCAAATCACAGCTATTGCCATTTTAACATTAGCCTGCAGACATGTGTAAATGGCCCCATGAGACTAGCACAGCTTTTTGGAGTTATGTTTGGTGTAGGATCTTTCCCTGCACAGTTACTCAGTATTATTATACATCTGACACATAACGCCATAAGTTACAGCATGTAGTAATTTTGCGGTATTGCACTGGGTATTTGCATTCTACCATATTAGGAAATTCCAAGTATGGAACAATTACATGTGTGAGAGTCCTCTAATAATAAAAACAAACATTGCAACCCCCAGGGTTTGACCAGACCCAATACAATAATATTCACTAAATCTGTTCGAAACATTTTGAATTTTGGCAATCCCAAAGATGTATAATAATATGGATATTACGAGGATAAGTATGCACTCAAAACAGTATGCGAACACATTGACCTCACTTGAGCGCCGGTCGATACCCCCTCTTTACTGTCTATGTGCATACTTTACAGTACCCTTGTAATAACCTCATATTATGCGACCCCCCACCCAAATATTCATGTTACTGGTAAATCCGCCATGTCAATTAAAAATATGTTTTTTGTCAAAATTTTAGATAAAATTTTATTTTCATGAAAAATAAAAATAATACCAATTA